TCATTTCCTACACCCCCATTTTAATACCACACTACTGGAAGCTCTATGATACTAGCTTAAAATGTTTTAATAATTTCCATCCCTGGTGTGGAGTCATCAGCCTCATCCCTCTCTTCTACCCTTTCTATCTTTTTCCTTTTTCCTCCTTTTTCTTTTCCTGGCCAATTGGCCTCTTTTTGTTTCTAGTTTGCCCACTCTCTCCCCTTCCATTCTTTTTTCTACTCAGTATAGGACAAGTGGTTATGATATTATGTGTTCTCCTTGTAAACTCCCATCCACTGTCCACATACCCTACCAATTGATATGTATTGAGAACTTAAGCAGCTCATATAGTATGGGGAGTTTAAACTCCCATTATGCTTCATATTTTTTCTTTTTGTCTTTTTGATGTACCATTACAATGTGATTCCATTATACTATTGTACTCAATGGGATGATCCATTACATTTATCTTTGGATGTAGACAAAATACTGTATCATAACACTATCCTGACTTAATATTGAACAAGAAAAAAAAAACACAGCGTTTTCCCCTGCAATGCCATGTTTACCCACACAGGAAAGCACAGGAGTTCCATGCATGCCTGTGCAGGCAGTCTCATTGATGTCATTTGGGATGTAGCAACCACATGAACACAGCCGTTGCTCCAAATTTTAAATCCATGTGGGTCCGAGTGCATGTTCCTGAGATCACACTATCTGTGTTCGGAGTTGTGCACCCACACTAACACAGCAGCGGCTATGCCCATGCAGCTATTGCATCCCAATTGACATGAATAGGACTGCCTGCACAAGGATGAATGGAACATCTAGGAATCCCCATGCAGGTAAACACGGCCCTCCACAAGCATACAGGTGAAACTCAAAAAATTAGAATATCGTGCAAAAGTTAATTTATTTCAGTAATGCAACTTAAAAGGTGAAACTAATATATGAGATAGACTCATTACATGCAAAGCAAGATAGTCCAAGCCGTGATTTGTCATAATTGTGATGATTATGGCTTACAGCTCATGAAAACCCCCAAATACACAATCTCAGAAAATTAGAATATTGTGAAAAGGTGCAATATTCTAGGCTCAAAGTGTCCCACTCTAATCAGCTAATCAAGCCAGAACACCTGCAAAGGGTTCCTGAGCCTTTAAATGGTCTCTGAGTCTGGTTCAGTAGGAATCACAATCATGGGAAAGACTGCTGACCTGACAGTTGTGCAGAAAACCATCATTGACACCCTCCATTAGGAGGGAAAGCCTCAAAAGGTAATTGCAAAAGAAGTTGGATGTTCCCAAAGTGCTGTATCAAAGCACATTAATAGAAAGTTATGTGGAAGGGAAAAGTGTGGAAGAAAAAAGGTGCACAAGCAGCAGGGATGACCGCAGCCCGGAGAGGATTGTCAGGAAAAGGCCATTCAAAAGTGTTGGGGATTTTCACAAGGAGTGGACTGAGGCTGGAGTCAGTGCATCAAGAGCCACCACACACAGACGGATCCTGGACATGGGCTTCAAATGTCGTATTCCTCTTGTCAAGCCGCTCCTGAACAACAAACAACGTCAGTAGCGTCTTACCTGGGCTAACAAAAAACAGACCTGGTCTGTTGCTCAGTGGTCCAAAGTCCTCTTTTCTGATGAGAGCAACTTTTGCATCTCATTTGGAAACCAAAGACCCAGAGTATGGAGGAAAAATGAAGAGGCACACACTGCAAAATGCTTAAAGTCCAGTGTGAAGTTTCCACAGTCTGTGTTGATTTGGGGAGCCATGTCATCTGCTGGTGTTGGGCCACTGTGCTTCATTAAGTCCAGGGTCAACGCAGCCGTCTACCAGGAGATTTTGGAGCACTTCATGCTTCCTTCCGCAGATGAGCTTTATGGGGATGCTGACTTTATTTTCCAGCAGGACTTGGCACCTGCCCACACTGCCAAAAGCACCAAAACCTGGTTCAATGACCGTGGAATTACTGTGCTTGATTGGCCAGCAAACTCACCTGACCTGAACCCCATAGAGAATCTATGGGGCATTGCTAAGAGAAAGATGAGAGGCATGAGACCGAACAATGCAGAAGAGCTGAAGGCCACTATTGAAGCATCCTGGTCTTCCATAACACCTCAGCAGTGCCACAGGTTGATATCTTCCATGCCACGCCACATTTATACAGTAATTGCTGCAAAAGGGGCCCAAACCAAATACTGAGTACATATGCATGCTTATACGTTTCAGAGGTCCAATATTGTTCTATGTTCAATCCTTGTTTTATTGATTACATGTAATATTCAAATTTTTTGAGATTGTGGATTTGGGGTTTTCATGAGCTGTAAGCCATAATCATCACAATTATGACAAATCACGGCTTGGACTTCTTGCTTTGCATGTAATGAGAGTCTATCTCATATATTAGTTTCACCTTTTAAGTTGCATTACTGAAATAAATTAACTTTTGCACGATATTCTAATTTTTTGAGTTTCACCTGTATACTTTAGTACATCCCACATGAACAAGGCTTTAGTTGCAATTTATCAGGAATTTAAAAAAAAGTGTGATTATGTGCACTAATATTGATTTTAGTGTATTTTTAGAGAAAATAGCGATTTGATGAACATTTGCGCAACTACTGCGGAGTCGAAAAAATCAGTAACCCTTTTTTTATTCTACAGGTCACAAAATGTATGGTCTGGGGGGGGTCTTTTCAAATTCTAAAAGCTGTAAGTGAAAATTGGTAACCTCCAGATTTTGAGACTAAATTGTTTTTATTTACAGTTTTGCATACCTTCCATTTTCCCCATTTTCCAAAAAGGTGCAATTTAAAATTTACAAATATATTTGTTATTTATTAACTCAATACGGTTTTTTATATTTAATAGGAATTTTGTACATTTTGACATATATGTAACCACCAATAATGATTTTAGTGTATTTTTAGCAAAAATATTGTTTTGATAAACATTTGTGCAAATATCACAGGGTCTACAAATTCAGTAGTACCTTCCTTTTATTCTACTGGTCCTATGCTTTCAGAAAATATATGGTTTGGGGGATCTTACACAACAAACTCTAAAAGCTGTAAGGGAAAAATACAAAAACAATGGAAAAATTGCAAAAACGACCTGGCCACTTGAGTTTAAAAGTGGAGTGCAGGGCCTGACAGCAAAAGGGTTAAACCTTTAACTAGATAACATTAAAATTGACATTTTTTTTTTTAATAAAACACTGTTTTCTCTTTTTTTTATCCTTTTTTGCATCTTTTTCCTGCAACCCCCTTTAGTCACTTCCTATCTCTATGTATCTTTTATAAACTTCAGGGTTAGCTGCACATCATTGTTACGGACAAGCCTCTTGACAGTGACAAAAGTGAACCTTGCCTTCACAGTGTACAACACTACGACCCTTTTAGTGCCCACCAAGGTCCCATGTGATGGGAACAATGCAGGAGGCCAATCAAAAATAATTAATATGAGTTTTCAAACTTCTACAAATTACAATATGCTTATATTGGATTTTAGTGACTGGGTTTGCATCCAAACATCAAAATGTGTAAGCTTTATAAACTGTTGCTGTTGTTTTTTTTTTTTTGTTTGTTTGTATTGGGTTTTTTTTTTATCAGTAAGCATGCTAACTGAAAGTTTATAAAACTCTATGCAAAGACAAGTAAAAAAAAAAGGAGCCACTGAGTGTAGACTGTAAAATGTTTATTCACAATAGGCAACATAAATTGCACTCACATGATAGATGACTGATAACAAGCACATCAAGTATTTTTGGATCCAGGACTGGTAACAAGCCACGGTGCGGATAAATCCTCTATGCTCTACATTCAGGGCCAGCTGCAGGTGGACAGGAGACCAGAACAGGAGCTGGGGCTAAGATGGACCGCAGATGGACTGCTACGCTGTGCTGGAGGTGTTTGCACCCCCGGAAATCATGCAACGGCGTTTCAGAGCATGCACACAGTGGTGGGGGAGCACTCCTTTGTCAAGCTCTAACTAAAAAAGTATAATGGACCCTCGGAAGACATTTTCCCCCACCCTTTCAGTTCTGTAATTGAGCTCCAGCTGTTGAGACTGTTCACAACAAAACAGTAAAATTAGCCTGGTAAACAGAGGAAAGTAGCCTATTTCGCTACCTTCTGGCTGCAAGTTGGAAATATAAAATATCCTTATGCAGAATATTTCATATTTACCTACCGAACTTGAGGTTATTTGCTTAAATTATTCCTATTTTAAGCATGTTTCATGTTTCATTCTTACAAAAAAAAAACTTAAGTAATCACAAATTACTCTTCAGTGCTGTGGTCTGTGTATATCTTTTTCTCAATAAATAAGGAAAAGACAGCAGGAAACATGCATGCATGAATGACGATACTGGCTGCATTCACATGGGTGTCTTTAAAAAAATGTCTGATAATTTCAAACACAAAAGAAATTACACATTTTTTCTGGTTTCGGTTATCAAGGGTCTTTTAAAAACACCCACGCGAATGCAGCTGACATTTTCTATTCATTCTTGCCTGCTATGTTTCCTACAGTCTTTACTTTGATTAAAGTAGAAAAAAAGTGCTAGCACAGAAAGGTCTGACAATGAAATGTTTCAAACTACACAAAGTGATTTTAAAGCAGTATTAAAGCCCAAAAGCAAACATTTATTATATTACAGCTTACCAATTCTTACCAATACAACCACTACATCTGGCTGCAATATATTACATTTTAGTTTTGGGGTTTAATGCTGCTTTAAATTAGAGCAAATACGGTACAGATCATTTATATATAAAGAAATAATGTGAGAGGGGTTTACTTAACCGCCTCCTGCCCGCCATATAAGGAAATGACGGGCGCAACGCAGTTCTCTCGTTCTGGGGGACGTCATATGACGTTCTCCCACTCTAACCTTGCGTGCACGGCTCCGGGGGCACGCAGCGTGGCTATCGGTGGTGCGCTGTGTCCGAAGACGTCGGCTCTGTCATGTGATCAGCGGTGTCCAATCACAGCTGACTGCATGTAAATATGGAAATGCCGGTTATTGGCATTTCTCTCCTCCAGAGCTGCCACGCTGACAGCTCGTGAGGAGAGGAGAGCCGGTAATTAGCATTCCTCAGAGGGGACATGTACACATGATGATCAGTGTGCCCAGATGATCAGTGTAGCCCCAGCAGTGCCACCTGTCAGTGTCCATCAATGCCACCTGCCAGTGCTCATCCATGCCACCTGCAAGTGCCACATCAATGCCACATATCAGTGCCTACCAGTGCACATCAATGCCACATATTAGTGCCCAGCTAAGCTGCCTTTAAGTGCCACCTATCAGTGCCAGTCAGTGTCGCCTATCAATGCCAGTCAGTGCAACCTATCAGTTCTGCCAATCAGTGCCACCTATCAGTGCCAGTCAGTGCCGCCTATCAGTGCGCATCTGTGCTGCATGTCAGTGCCCATCAGTTCTGCCTGTCAGTGCCACCTAACAGTGCCAGTCAGTGCCACCTAACAGTGCCAGTCAGTGCTGCCTATCAGTGCCAGTCAGTGCTGCCTATCAGTGCCACCTATCATTGCCGCATATCACTGCCATATATGAGTGCTGCCTTTCAGTGCCCATCAATGATGCCTGTCAATGCCCATCAGTGCCACCTACCAGTGCCTCCTCATCAGTGCTGCCTATCAGTGCCCATCAGTGCAGCCTATCAGTGCCCATCACTGCAGCCTCATTAGCGCACATCAGTGAAGGAGAAAAATCACTTATTTACAAAATGTTATAACAGAAACTAAGAAAAAACTTTTTATTTTCAACATTTTAAGTTGTTTTTGGTTTGTTTAGCAAAAAATAAAAAACCCAGAGGTGATTAAATACAACCAAAAGAAAGCTCTATCTGTCTCAAAAAAATGATAAAAATTTCATATGGGTACAGTGTTGCATGACAGCGCAATTGTCATTCAAAATGTGACAGCACTGAAATCTGAAAATTGGCCAGGGCAGGAAGGGGGTATAGGTGCCCTGTAGGCAAGTGGTTAATATGTACTGTGTGTATGGGTAAATTAATATAAACGTGCATATGTCAGTGCTCACAGACAAACCAAATGTACTGAATGATTTGTCTATTGAAGCATTCTGTGTAATAAAATGCATTATAAACCTTTCTACCCACACCTAGCATTGCTTACCCACATAAGATGTGCATTGATCATGCAGTTTCATGGTGTCATTTGTTGCCCTGTACACACAGCTTATATTAGAATAAATCTTTACATTCCTGTGTCAGAAGTTAAACACGAGGTATGTGGCATGGCATGCTACTGCACTGGCTGTTGCATGACTTCTGTCTGTAGTCTGAGAACTGACACTTCCTTTGAAGAAACTACATATCCCATAATCCCTGGGTCTCCCAGTCTAGCGCTCTGCAGGTGATAGCTAAATAGTAATTAACTCTGAAAGAGACACAGACAGGCAGAGCATTCACAAAGAGATCACCATGCTGGGAGATATGTGTTTTCATCATATAAGCACTCCCATGTTTGTGGTGCAACACAGAAGAAATGGCAAAGGCATGGTTTGATGAATGCTGCTCGTTCCCTTAGCAAATAGGGACAAGCTAGGTGAATGAATACATGGACATAAAGCAACTGATCAGCCATGACACTACAAAGTGTAGCTGCAACATGCGAGCCCATCTATACAAGGTATTGCAAACAAACAACAAAGGGAATATAACTATGCTAATACCTACTGCAATTAAAATAACAGAAACATTTAAAAGTGTACAATGTCTTTCATTTTACCTGCTTTCCTGAATTCCTCCTCGAATGTCACTTCCTACCTTCAGCTGACAATGCTGACAGAGTGCCATTGAAATGACAATCAACCCTGTCACCGTGTTGCCTGCTGTGCAAAACTAGACTCTTGGAGTATGTGACAAAGCAATCAGTTGTAATTTAAATAAACACTCTCCCATGCATTTAGCCCACTTCTCCTGTGTCTACTGATACATACAAATGTGCTGGAAACTGCTGGAAGTGCAGACTCCTACAAATTGTAGTTTTTTTTGTAAATTGTAAATTATATTAACTGCTTCCTGTCCACCCTATAACAGAAATTCTGCTACATGGCGTCAATGGTGCGCAAAATCACGTATAGATACGTGATTTTGCAGTCCTAGGTAGGGCGTGCGCATCATCATTCACAGCCTCGGCTGTCAATCACCAGGTCCCGCCTTGTGATTACTCACCAGCACCCAGTGATCGGCGAGTATTACCGATGGGGGAGGGAACTGTATGTAAAAAATAGAGAGCTCTCCCCTGTCAGTTCCTGCACACTGCTAGCAGAGCCATACAAAGCAGTGTGCTTACAATTGAAAGCACACACAGCACATAATGTGAAACAGCACACTGCACACAGTTAACCCTTTGATCACCACAGATGTTAAACCCTTCCTGTCCAGTGCCATTAGTACAGTGTCAGTGCTTTTTATTAGCACTGATCACTGTATTAGTGTCACTGGGGATGTCAGTGACACCAAGTCAGTTCCCCTCAGTGTCGTAGTCGCGGTCCTGCTATAAGTCGAGGGCTTCAGGTTTAGAAGAACGTGCCGCGGGTCCCTTGGAAAGGGGCGAGCTAATAATGAATGCAGGCATTTAAGAATCTTCTACCAGAACCTAGAGAGCATAGGGCTTGTCCACCATATTTGTAGGACGTCTCCTGGAGTAGTGCAACCACGAAAACTGGTGTCGGAGGCAGATGAGTGTAGGTGTGCTAGATGGGATGGGACCAAATACCACCTTGTATTGGTTTTAAATGCTGATTCCATTGTATAAATATTGACAGAACATGAGGTCAGGGTTGTCCATATCTGTGTCCAGGAGCCCATATCTTTGGAACTTTTAAGATCCTTTTCCCATCTGGAAACGTAAGTGTGGTTGTTGGGATTCTGAAGGTTAGTCAACTGTGATTAGAGGATGGAAATAAGTTTGAGGGAGAAGGGCATCCGATGGCAGATATGTTCAAATAGGGACAATCAGGTCGTCGGTTCTTTGTCAGTGAGCACCAAAGTCACCCAGTGTTTAATTTGTAAAAATTGAAACAGTTTGGTATGGGGAGCTTGGTATTTGTCCCTTATGTCTGCCCAGGTGTAAACAGAATGACCAGTGAGAAATGAGTGGACCCACTGAAGCTTGTGGGAAGCCCATCAATGGAAGGCGATGGGGTAATCGAGGTCAGGAGGTAACAGAGGATTGCCCAAGAGGGGAAGAAGTGGTAGATGAAGTGAGATTAGACCGCTTGAGTATTTTATGGAGTCCTATATGTGTAACTAGTGGGCCATTAGTGGGCTGAGAGTTGTGGGCCTAGATCTTGGGGGAGGCCATAAAAGTGAACAAGGAGAGACCGGGGAACAAGAGAGTGCTTCCAAAGGGATCCATATGGGAGTCTGCTGAGCTTCATTTAGGGAGGTCATGGGTGTGATATGAGCCGCCACATAGTTCTTGGAGAAGTTGGAAACCCGTAAACCCCCCTGTTTCCGATGTATGAGCATGGTGTATTTGGCAACCCAGGGTCTCTTGTGAGCCCAAATAAAGAGTAGAACATAATTCTGAAATAACTTTAAGGCAGAAGAAGGGACTACAACAGGGGGGAGTTAGGAATAGGTATAGGAGCTTTGGAAGAATAGTCATCTTTGCTGCGTTGATTCTGCCAATCCATGAGAGGGGTTGGCGGGACCATGACATTAGCAAGAGTTTGAAGAGAATGGAAAATTGAGATATAATTGGCCTCATAGAGGGTGTAATAGGATTTAGTGAGATTAATACCGAGATATTCTAAGTGGGTAGCAGGCCAGGCAAAATTATAATTTTGTTTTAATAAATTAATCTCTACCTCAGGGAGAGAGACATTAAGGGACAATGATTTGTCCTCATTTATTACTAGGCCAGAGATATTGGAAAGGGGGTAAGAATAGAAAAAACGGTAGGAAATGTAGTATGTGGCTGAGTCAAGGTCAAGAGCAAGTCGTCAGCGAATGCACTAACCTTGAAAGACTGTTAAGCGATCATGACCCCTTTGATATCTGGGTTAGATCTGATAAGGTGTAAAGGAGACTCTAAGGCCAAGATGAAAAGTATAGGAGAAAGAGGGCACCCCTGGCATGTTCTCATGTTGATTAGGAAAGGGGAAGATTGTCGGGAAAGATAGCGAACTCTGGCAGAGTGTTCATGATGGCCAAGATGTGAAGGTGGGTGGGAATCCTCATTTGTCCAAAACATAATGCATATACTCCCAGGAGAGAGAGAGTCAACTGCCTTATGTATATCCAGGCCTAGAATCATGCCCGGGGGTTCTATTTTGGAAGAAGTAGATTTCAACATGGAAAACTGTGTTTTTTTTGCTTCTGATAAAGGTACTAATTATATACTTTCATTGGCAAAATAGGGCTTACATATACTGTTATTGTTGCAGCTGAGAGTGTAATTGTTATGCAAGTGACAGTGTGGTGTGAGATTGGCTGGTCCTTTGTCACGAGTTGGTGAGAAGAGCCGGGGTCAGGCACCACGTTCGTCACAACCAGGGCAACCCTCAATTATTAGAGAGCCTGGGGAATAGTGGGCAGAATTGGGTGGAAGATGGACTGAAAGGAAGGCTGGAGTGTGGAGCCTGGGAGGGGGCCCCAGGGAGGAGAGCCTACCTACAGGCTGGTTGCTGGATGGGAGGATCTATACTACTTCAATGTCTCCTGAGGAGGACAACCTGTCAGCAAGCAAAGAGCCAGCCGAGTGTAAGGCTGGAAGGCAGTCACCAACCCACCACACTAGCAGTCGTAGACAGTGTAAGTACTCCTACCCCCTTGGCCTGATAAGAGGAGAGGGCAGTCAGGTGTAATACCCAACAATTCTTAATCTGGCACTGTATAACTGCAAGCTCTTGGAACCCCCTTACTCAAGGATACCCTCAGTACAACTGGGTGAGAAGGAGGATTCATCCGGCGTCTGAGGAGGTACACCACCAAGAAAAAGGGACAGTGCTGTATTTCTTTTTTCCTGCTAGTGCAAATTTATGTACATAGTTGCTCAGAAGTTCATCCTCAAGTTCTACAGTTCCTTGGGCATCCCATATACCCCTATGTAGCAAACTAGCTCATCAGAATTAGATGCGGAGTTCCCCCTTTTTCTTTGTATTGGAAGTATTCCTCTCATTCCCTACCCCCTCCCTTCCTGAGAGGCAAACATTATCTCCTGACAGATGGTGTGGGTCAACCAGGTTAAGACATCCTGGGGTTTATTTACTAAAGCTGGAGAGTCCAAAATCAGACTCCCTTCTGCATAGAAACCAATCAGCTTCTAACCTCAGCTTGTTCAGTGAAGCTTTGGCAATGAAACCTGGAAGCTGATTTCTATGCAGAAGGG